CCTGCAATATGCAATTCATTTCCCAAGGTTAGATATTTGATGAAACAATCCATTTCCTTTAAATACTTTCTTAACATCCATAACATACAGAAGGATAGTGAAGGAACATCATGTACCAATTTTAAAATGTTCCCAAATTTTCAATAAATTCAAATAAATTTGGCTCTCACATGGAGATGGATTTCTGCAGCAAGCTCAGTCCCAAGACTAATGTGTGATTAATGCACACAAAATATATCTGTAATCAAATAATAAAATACAAACACAGGAATTTGATATATTATGTAATACAATATGCTGACTGCAGCAGATAATAATGAAAATTATGGTAATGATAATGATGATGATGATGATGATAATAATAATAATAATAATAATAATCCACAACAGAAATATACAATAATTGCAATAATTTCGCTAAACTGACGAAGAAATAAATGTGATTTCCCTGCAGGTAGCATTTGGTCTGTTCACATATGGGCAGAGCTGATCTGATATGATGATGTGTTCACCAGAAACCTCCTGAAGATTGGCCACCGGGAGGATTCTTCACTCTGATGCATGATCTTGGAGCGGTGTCATCCAGTTCGGCTGCAAAGGAATAGAATGGCTCTTCACAATTTCTGGGATTGCAATTTTACATTTGGAATGTATCAGAGTGCCACAGGACCTCACTGTATGTGCAATAAGAGTCCTGCAAACCTTATTAACAGAGCATATTCATTACTTGACTGGATATTCTATGATAAGATATATTTTAAAGCTGTGTATAATGGCAATTGAAACTAACATAGAAAGAGAATGAGGGCAAGTCAGGCTAAATTTTACGAAAACTACAAACATCAATTCTGTATCCTGTAATTCAAACATCCACTTCACATATTTCCTATGAAAATATGTCTCTCTGAAAAATATCACCATCTACATATCTATCCATGTGCTTTACACATCTATTTGGTATGGTGCTGATACCTGTGTTGATACATTTCAGAATGCAGTTCCTGTTGGAATTACCACTGCCTCCCCACCCATAACATCCAGACTTCAATATATATACTGAACATATTCCCCTAACCTTTTTTCACAATGTTCAGAGGAAGAAGGAAAAACATTATTAGCATTTATGTTAAAACTGCAAAAGTTCGAAATGACACCACAAGGTTCCCTCCGGCCAACATGCAACAACAATAAACAAATAAGATAATTGTCTGAGTTAATGATGCAATAAAGTTTTCAAATAAAAAAAATACTTGAGGAACATGTGTAAAGTCCCATGACACAGGCAGCCTGTGCACAAAGGAAAGTGTTTTCCTTCAAAGAAATGAATTTGAATGAGTCCGTGGGGGGGGGGAGCAGTTTTGGTGGTGGTAGTGGTCGTGATGGTGGTGTCACTGTTGTTACTGCTGCTATTACCATCATTCTAATCCCAACTAACTTCTAATCCTTCTTATGATCACAATTCCAATTCTCATTCTAATTCTACCCCATCTTCTAATTGTAGTCCTTCTAATTTCAATTATTCTTCTCTGCCTCTGAAGATTTTTCTCTTTCAGGATTTCTTGTACCAGGTTCCCATCTCTCACAGTTATCTACCCCTTCCTCACACAGGCCTCATTCCATTGTTAGTTTTGTTACATTGTCTTCCACCTATCCAAAATACTGTGGGAATCTGCAAGCAGATCACCATTCTCATCCTTCACTAAGTTACTCCTAGGTTGGTAACCCCTCTTAAAGTAATTTATTGCTTTATACATGCGTTGATCAAATCCGTTACAATATTAATTGTGAAGGGTCCATTTAATATGGTACACCTCCTGAATCTCGTTTTGTATGACCAAAATGTGTTAGGGTTTTAAAGTAAATAACTATGCACATATATTCCACATGCTTAGTTCAATATCGATACATAAGAATTTAAACATGCAGTAACTTATATACACATAATATACATACACATACACATCCACAGCAGACTTTATGATCAGATGTATGATTACAGTTTGTTAACCATTTCTCAGAATATTATACATCAGCATCCTCTTGTATTACTTTCTCACTCACTCCCATCTATCAATGCAATCACAACTTTTTATTTTAAGTAATATTTAAAATAACAACTGTGTTTACATTTAGAGATGCGAGTGAATGAGTGAGAACCATTTCACAGTTTCATATATTCATAAACATGAGTGTGAGTCAAGAGGAATTCCTTCAGTGCCACTTTATATGACACAAGAGTTCAAGATGACACTCCTCATTTAAGTCAGACTACTTGAAAAGCACCTCATTTTTCTTTCAGTTAAGTATGGTATCAAATGTAGCAACTGAAATTACATAGAGCAAAGTGGCAATTTTAGTAAAGGTGAGTGAGAAAACCAGCACACATTCATGAATAAAAATGTAGAAGGCAAGGAATTCAGAGGGAACAGATGCAATTTCATGAAGTCTGAATAGTCAGTATGGCTAAAAGCAGTGAAGGGAAAATGAAAGACATGGGAATTTAGTTAGTTAGTTATTAGAGAGGGTGGGTTTCTCCATGCACTTAGACCTGTAGTGGTCCATTGTGCTTCCCTCTATGATTTCTACCAGTCTCTATATCCTACCGGTATTGGTGCTTACCATCAGTCCCACCCAGCCAGCGAGACCGGCTCTACTAGCTGAGAGGTATCTATAATGCTTCCCCCATCTACTGGAGGTATTAGTGACTGCTGTTGGACGGGAAACGTCCGCAATTTTGGCTCAGTGACCTCCTTTGGAGGTGTGAGGTTCTTTTACGTGCTGTAAAGCTACGACACGGGACCTCTGCCAGGTATTTGAAACCGCGTACTAAGACAAGGGATTTTATATTAGACCAAGGGAGTACAGCCTAACTCATGATAAAACTATGTTTTTTCTACATGATTCTTAGAGATGAAATCATGCCATATCTATCAAGAAAAATGAGCATTTTTAATGTTACTCCTCCATGAAACATTAAAAGAACTACTTTTTTTACCCATATATTCCCATAGTAAATTTATTATGCATTACTTAAGGGGCACTCTTCCTTTGACAACATCATGAAGAAAGAAAAAAGTTAATATAACCAAAGCAGGCACATGAAGATGAAGTTCACACACATCACTGTCTTCATGGTACTCTAACTCTACTGTCACAAAGAGACATGAGAGATAACTTTGGTGCTTTCAAGGGCATGCAGAACTCTTTAATGACCTCAATTTCATATACTGAGTCAATCAGTGATACTGTCACACTCATTTTATCTAACACATGTATACAGTGTGTTTCAAAATGATGGACCCAACTTCAGAGCAGTATATCTCACGATGGCAACATGCTACAATTACAGGAAAGGTCACAAATGGTCTAACAGGTTATTAAGTTTCGTTAACTTCTTTTTATAAATGCCCTATGTGACCTCCACCTGCTGCACGGAAAACGTCAAGACGATAGCTGAATGCATCCCAAATGCTTCTCAAAGTGTCTTCTACCACTGAAGGCACAGCTGCCTTTATTCTGTTTTTGCGGTTATCCATGTTAGTTGCTAATGGGGGCACAAAAACACTGTCTTTGACATATCACCACAAGAAAAGGTTGTAGGGTGTAATGTCTGGAGATCTTGGGGGCCAAAGCTGTAGTGTCAAGTCTTGGGGCCCCATGCACCCTATCCAATGTTAAGGCAGTGATGCATTTAGGAAATCTCTAACCTGCTGGTACCAATGTGGCGGTGCACCATCTTGTTGAAAAATGAAGTCATCACAATGTGCCTTACGTTATGGAAAGAGCATTCCCACAGCGTTTTGAGATAGTAGCCCAGTAACTGTTTCTCTTTCGAAAAAGTAAGGACCATAAACTTTTGTTTGAGAAATGGCACAAAAACGTTCACCTTTGGGAAATCATGCTCATGCTCTACAGTTTTCCTTGGTTTCTGTGTTCCCCAAATGTGTACACTGTGGTGGTTACCTTTACCACTTAGGTGAAATGTTGTTTCATCACTAAAAATCAAAAGTGGTAAGAAGCTGTCGTCCTTCATGTTCTGTAACGATTTGTGTTGTGGTGTCGCCATCTTGCCAATGACTGAGGTGAGGGACTGTTTGTGTGCTGGGAGAGGCATCTGGCAGTACTGTTTTGAAATTCTATCCCCCACCGTTTCAAGTGGTAAGAGTTTCATTCATGGGCAGTTTGCAGTTGCAGATATATAGCAATTTCAAATTGGGTCCATCATTTTGAAACACCCTGTACTGAAAGGAATATGTGGCCTTTGTGCCAGACATCTAAGAGGTGAATAGGCATGCAGAACAAGCGCATCACTACTATGAGATTCCTTGACCTCTCTCAGCATATACTTATGAGGAAATTAAAAAATAATCAAAGTGCTGAAAAAGAAGAAAGCAAGGCTCAAAACATGAAGTTCACTCAGGGGTAAGAAGAAAAAACAAACTCTTATACTTGCCAAATGTTTTGCATAAAAATACTACTACAGTCAATAATTTCATGGACTGTGGTTCTGTTGCACCATATTGCAAGATACTCACATACACTTACACACATCCAAATCCTCCCTCAAAATAGTCACCGTTTGTCTCTTGTTATGATCCAGTTGAGAAATGTCCCATCTTTGTCAACACTATTGACCAGGTCTCCGCAACTGCTCATGCATTTGTCATGATGGTCTTGTTTCAGGATGCGTGAAACATTGTGCTGGGTAACTTGAGACATGTTCAGGTCATCAGACAGAATTTTGTGGCAAGTGCCATGGCTAATCCTACTGCTGCTATGATTTCTTCTACTGTTTGGAAACAGCTGACATGCACCAACATTGCAACTTCTTGGATCTTGAGTTCAGTTCTGACCGGTATGCTCATCATCTTCCAAACTGTTTCTCCCCTGTACAAAACATTTGTGCTACTTAAACACAACAATACGGCCCAAGCATTCTTTGCCGTACACTTGCTTGATCATCTGAAATGTTTCACTAGCAGATATGCTTAATTTTTAGCAGAAGTTGACATTTGCCCATTGCTCAAACTGCAACATTCTTCATTTCCGCTGCTCACAGGCAACTAACCTTCACAACAGTGACTTTCTTTCTCAATACATGGCACACACACAAATGCTTCATGTTGGGACAAGAGAGGAATGTACATGGCACTATCTCATGGCTACATGTAATGGTTGTAGTGCATAAGAGTGCCACTATCAGCCAATCCACGAAATTATTGACTGTACTATGAAGTAGTCTGTGAAGTAAATATAACACACATCTACCTGATTCTTGTTCATGCAACCCATTAGGGCTCTCACCACTGATGGAGAAAGTTGAATCCTGAAGGTTCCTCTGACCCTTACTGGAGGGGGTACCAAGCTGGGGTTCAGGAGCCTGTGAGGCCTCCACATGTGGTTCCTGAACAGGTGTGGGTGTGGACGGCTTGCCATCATTGCCATCAGCCACACTACCAGTGTCATTCACAAGTGCAGCACTTGACACTGAGTTAGATGATTTCTCCTGTTCACCAGAAAATAATAAAATAGAAAAACAGACCATTTTCTTCTCTATATAAATACTGAATAATGGCATCAGGATTCCAAATCAATATATAAGGTCTTAAACAGTACATAGGTCAGAATTATCATAAATGAATGAATGATATCACCATGACTAAGCACAAATTGGACCAAATATAGCTGAACTGCAATGTGCATAATTATGTTATACCTCTTCCCTCTTCTTCACCATGGAGTACACATATGGAGAGAAGACTGGAGTTGGGATGAAATGTCCAAAACCTTGCACAGCTTTCAGATCACCTTCATCCACACAAACTCTGCCATTGACAATCACATACTCCGGAACTCCATGACATTCCATACCCTCAAAGCAAAAGAATTATTTTAAATTGCATGAATACTGTGTTTCCAACAACATTGTTTTAGATATAACAACAGTCGGCAATGCAAATTTCTATGTTGTGCTTATTATATTTTCTAGTTACTTCAGAGAGTGACAGGAAGGTACTGATTGCTTGATAGCTGTCCTGGTTAAGTTTTTGTGAGTAAACATTTTGGCTAGAAGATGCATGTGAGTGATGAGGTGTTATATGAACTGTTGCAAAAGAGTGAATGTAGTGATATTTCTGAGAGCAAATGTAGTAGTGACAGTGAAATAAATGTGAAAATTTTGTCATGGGGTGAACAGAGAGTCAGTTCTGATGAAGAAGAAAATGTCAGTGACAACAATAGCATGCAGCATAGCATATGTGCAGACAGGTGCTGAGCAACTACATTTTCTATTTACTGGCAAGCCTAACATAAATGTTGACTTAGAAGACCCCAGTGAGCCCCTGGAATAATCTGAGTTCTTTGTACACCAGATATTGTGGAAGTAATAGCCAGAGAAACAAATCGGTATGCCTAACAATTTTTAGAAAACATGCCTAATCTAAAACTAGGATCTAGGATCCATCACCAGAAGGAGATGACCAGAAATGAAATAATGAAGTTGCTGACATTCTTTTGTTATAAGGACTTCACCAGAAACCAGATAACAAGAGCTATTTCTCCTGGAGGAAAATTCTAGAAACATCTACATTTTTTATAAGAGGTTTCACCTTCCACTCAAGTTTCTTAATTCTGATGGCAAGAAAAGTTATGATGAGGCCACTTGCAGTTCCAAAAGACCGCATAAACTCAAACCCACACTGGATCATGTAATGCAAAATTTAGGTGAGTATATATCCCTGAGGGTGATGTGTGAGTAGATGAAATTTTGATGATGTGGAAGGGACAATACATTCAAGACATGCTAAATTTTAAATGATATAAACTCCGTCTTAAGTGCAAACAATATATTTTGTGTCTTTGATCTTGCTCCCTACACTACATGTTTCGGCCTCAGACGGCCATCATCAGGTGTATAACACTCACGTCGCTGTCACACTGCACCCAGTTCAAAATTTAACATCTAAAACACTCTCCCTGTCATTATCAACTTCTACTTCGTTGATAGCTGTCCACCCGTAGATTACTTCACACACGTTAATTATGAGTTTATTGTAATAGCACCATAATAAAATCTTTAGTTCTAATTTTAAACCTTTAAATTCTTGTCCAAATTTTAAAATTTTTAAAATTGTTAGGGTTATTCGCCCTGTGTTTGAAGTGCTGCAGCGGCTAGTTCTTGTTTCCACACTGTATAAGTGTTATCCTGTGTAGTCTTTCTGCGTGCGTGCCGCTGCTATTCTTTACTACGTGTGCCTATACCTATCATTTATCGTATGGAGTGCAACAGGATGCTTAAATATAATATATGCTAAATTTTGTATAAAATAATTTGAATTGTGTGAAAACAAATCTGGTTATGTATGGAATTTTATTATTTAGACTGGGCAGGATACTGTTTTTGACTAGTCCATAAAAAATGAACCATTCAGTTCCAAAGTAGTCCAACAACTAATGGCTACTCTACTGAATCAGGGATACCATGTAATCATGTGCAGTTGGTTTTCAAGCCCAGATCTGTTCATAAGCAGTGCAGTAAACAGATTAATGCTACAGGAACCTTGCGTCAAAACAGGAAGGGCATCCTTACTGAAATAAAGGGTGCAAAACTGTAGAAGGAGGTACATGTTTCAGTCTACAAATACAGACTAATGATAATGAAGTGGATTATTAAAAAGAAAATATTAGTCTTATAATTACCACTCATGGTGACAAAATGGTTCCAACTAGGGTTCAAGGGCAAGACATGGAGAAGCCCAAAGCAGTCACTGATTATAATTCTGGGATGGGAGGTGGGGCCCATAGTGATGCTTACTTGAAAAGCTATCACACCAGAAGGGGAAGAAATACTATCATATGCACTTCCACCATTTGATTGATAACTGTTGTTTGAATTCATGTTTACTTTACAAAGAAAACAATGGCAGAATTTCCAGGATGGAATTTCAAGTGACACAGAAAATTTAATTACAAAACATCATATAACAGAGGAGAGACCACTAGGCAGACCACCAGAAACTGGCCCAATGACAAGGTTGAATTCAACACATTTTCTTCCCTATATTGCTGCCAAAGCATCAAAGTAATATCCATGTCCATGCTGTGTTATGCGCTACAAAATGGGACGTTATGAAACAAGGTGCAACTGTGAAAACTGGGATGGCCCTGTGTGCTGCACCGTTTCCAATGCTACCATACAGCGGCAGACTGCTAGAGGCATAAAAGAGGATCAAGCAGCAACCGGTAACTAAGAAGTGTCTGAAGGTAAAATTTTAATGATCAGAAAGTGTACTATGGGCTGGTATTGAAAACTATGCCATAATTATAAGGACCTTCATAGTATGTGCCACTGGACTTGCAACAGTGTTTTCAGTGATTTAATTGTTTTAGTGATGATTTCATAGTCTGCACAAGATAACAATTTTGCAGTCGATGTTTGGAAGAATAAAGAGCTTTTGTTGCACAGTTCATTCATCCATAGTGGTCTCGAAGTTGTGAAAGAAGTACTAGTTCAGCACATGTGGTAATAAGAAACGTCTGTTAACAATGAGGCAGTCAAAGATGTAGTAAGTCATAGTGAACTATCATAATAATCAAACATGGGAATGTGTGTTTAGGCTGGAGGTAGTTTTGTCAGTTAGCTTCTATGATTGTGTTTCATTTCTAAACACAAGACATTGAGTGGGACTGCATACAGTGAATGTGCATGAGTCAGACATATATTTCTGATATTACATATTGGGAACTGAAATGCATGTCAGTGGCAACTACAGTGTACTTTTTGAGAATAAAGCCACAAGTATGAAATTTTACTAAAAATATATATATAAACTTTAATGAAATGGCTATATGAATTAAAATGTAGATATATGAACTCTGATAATTGGTCTTTCAGAGACCTTTTTTCATAATTTTAAAATGGCACACGGTCGAGATAATAAATTTTAAAAAGGGAGCAACAATTATAAAATTAAAATAACAAATTTAAATGTCTGGGGAATTCTAATGTCCCACTGTGGGAGAGATGAGAATATGGAATATAGTATACACTTAACCGGTTAATGCAAGAAATGTTCAAGTTTCTAGTAGTATAAGAGAAACTCATTCATTACAAAGACACTGTTGCATATGAGACACCTCACGATATCAATTAAAGTTAAACTCTAAAATCTTAGTGGATTTATAATTACTTCTGAAAACAGATGAACCTTACTAAAGATACATTTCATAATAATAATTACCTCAAAGATGTTGAAGTCCACTGCATGATGATGGGTTTTGGCTGAAATGGTACGTGTTTTATTTGGATCCCAGATTACTATGTCAGCATCAGAACCCACAGAAATACAACCCTGGAATAACAAGCAAGTTGCATAATAATTAAAAGCACAAGCTCCAAATTCTACAATGATTATGAAAACAGGCATGAAAAAATCATACATATAATATACATTTTAAATAACAAAAGTTTTAAAGTTTGGAAATTTCATAGTTTTGTGAAATGAAACTGCAGTGAGTTCCGAAATATACATTATCAAAATTCATACTTCCATAAACTTATTCATCTCATTATTGTAATATAATAAATTCCCACTCCTCTCCTATTGAATGGTTCATCAAGATAGCTTGTCATCATATACTTCAGGACCTGGAAAGGGCTATGTAATTTGAGATCCTGCCACACACACAAGGAATAGGGAAAGCCAAATAAGAGAGTGGGGGAGAGAGAGAGAATGAGACTGAATTCACAGTAGCTTGGATTTTTGACATAGGCAGGAGAGTGAACTTTAAATTCTGAAGAACTTTTCAATAAGAAAATTTCTCACTTTCATTTCATTTCAGTGCATCTTTGCCATTAAGCTGAAATAGGAAAGACACTGAGCTCACATACTTATTGCCTTATTAAATAACTGGCATTTAATTATACATATATACCAATCATTAATGTAAATAATGCCAATCACAATGGTCACGTGGTCTAAGGCATGAACTGCTTTTGCCTGCTGAAATACTGGGGTCATGCGATCAAACCCCACTTGAGGCATGGATGTCTGTGTTTATTCTCTGTTTGTGTTGTCATGTGTAGGTAGCAGCCTTTTGACTGGCTGATCACCCATCCAAGGCATCATACCAACTGTCTATAAGATTAATAAACTGAAATTGAAACAAAGCATTTCACAGATATCCTATTCTCCAGAGGGAGCAACAGGAAATTAAAAAAAGTAAATAATGTAGTCAGAAGCATCAGTTTGCAACAAATGATGCCACATCCAAAGTTCAATTTTTTTTTTCAGTTTGTCACTTAATGAAGCTTCCAGTATCAAGACTATACAGTGTCAGTGACAGGACAATTAACGAATGTGGAACAGCTGGTGGAATGGGAATTGGCAGTGGAAACTGAAGTACTATGAGAAAACCAACTCCACTGTCACTTTGTCCACCACAAATCCCACATGACCTAACATGGAACTGAACCTTGGCCACTACAATGGGAAGCTGGTGACTAACTTGAGTTACTGCATGATCTCTAAGCCCACAGTAAAATATATAAAGATATTAATAAGTTTTGATAATAAAGCTCACATCCACAGGAATAAAAATAAAAAGTTTTGTATGTTGAGATGTGATGCTGATCACAGTGGTCATGTGGCCCAATGCATGCTGCTACAGGGTCACCTGAAAAATGGGACTGCAAGTTTCAATTCAGCTATAAACATGGATGTACGATATGAGTTATTTCGTGTTGTGCTGTCCTGTATAAGCAGAGCCATTGGAATGGACCAACCTCTTATCCAAAGGGTCCTAGCAAATATCTAAAGAATATATTATTTTGCAATTAATTCTGAATTGGAATAGGCCTCAAGCATAATCCATATAACCAAATTAAAAAAATTAGCAATAAATTAATATTTAAAAAACAATTATTTTAATGAGCGATTGATCTGTCACAGGGTGATACAGTGTATTAAAGTGTCTGTCTCTCTTAGATGTGTGTCTTGAATACTAGAGCTGTATATATATATGTCATATGTTTATATACCAACCTTTCTTGGGTAGATGTTGAATATTTTGGCAGCATTTGTACTAGTGATGGCCACAAACCGTGATGGGTCCATCTTTCCTGAATGCACACCTTTCTCCCAGATAACTGACATTCGATCTTCTACACCATTTACACCATTTGGAATCTTGCTAAAATCATCCTGGCCGAGAGCCTTCTGACTGGCAGTGAAAGTGCAGTTGTCACTCCCAGTCACTTGAAGAACATCACTGATGAAAATATCAAAAGACAAATCTGAAGTACTGCATATTCAGGTTACGCATGTCTCACTGTCATTCATAACTTAATTATAATATTATGATATTGACTTAAAGTTATGTCATATTTAACTTCAAGTTATCTTACACTGTAGCAAAGATATGAGTATTAAAAGCACATGAGATATGGAAGCATAGTGAGTCTTCTTTGGCACTCAGCTATGTCGAGATGGAGTGTCCATCCTGACATGACTAACTACTCAACAAGACATCATAGCAGTAAAAAAAAAAAGCACTAATCATAAGTGCAACAATTATTAATCAGCTAGTATCGTAAGACTTGAGTAGTTCACACAGTTATTTTCCAGCCTTCAAATAGTAGTTAGATTTAATACAAAGTGCACATTTTTCAAATACTCATGACAAAAAGGAATCTGTGGTTTCATGAAAAGCATTTAGTTATACTACTAACATCTGTGTCTGAATTGGGACATATAGACAGATTCATAAGAGGATTCTGAAGATCTCCTTTCCTTTGGAAACCTAAAAACTGCCACCAAAGAATGAATTAAGTACTTTTATTCAAATTAAAATCTCATTTTCTACAGTATAAAGGAATTTGATTTGGTTCATTCTGGTCCATCACACTAACAATATCGTGAAAACTTAAATAGTTCCGTCTAGTGTGACTGGTGTGTCACACTAGATGGAACTGTTGGACTTTTCATGAGTCTAAAGGAATGGCACTTGATTTGAAATAAATAATAAAATTTATGACATTTTCAAAATTTCAACAGGTTTGTTAGTGTGTAGAGAAGACTGGGTGTACACATTCATGCCTACACAAGAACCTAGGTCAAATAGTGAAAATGTCAGGAAAACGGTATGCACATGTGGGTACACAACACACAAACAAATAAATACACCATGTAAAACTCATACATTATTAGTCTTCTTACTGACAGTTGCACAATACTCTCCTTTCAGAATACAGCCTTTATTAAAATAAATATAATTTTGATGAGCAACAAATATTACCAAAAGTGTTGTCATCAGAAATCTGTGGCAGAATAACAAATCTGGAGAATCCTTGAAGTGCCCAGACCTGCAGTTAAACCGCTAGCACTGACGCACCATACAGAAGCCCCATGTTGTACACAAAATGCTACATATTACAAGAAACACTTAAATTCTTAATGAAGTGAATTAAGGGCATTGCATGTTAATTGTTTGCACAGGACATGAGGGATTATATACTGGCTAAGCTAAAAGCAATATACGTGCCCATATATGAGAGTTAGCAATAATGGCAACAGTTACACACAATATGGAAAAAGGCACCAACTCCAGACCAAAGGGAAAGGACAATAATTCTGATGAACCCTGATATATACAGGGGATGGACAAAAATATGGAAACACCTTGTGAAATGCATGCCTGAATTGAAGTGTTTATTTTAGCGACGTTTGTAAGTCACAGTCTTATCTACTAATACCACTACCTGTACAACCTCCGCAATATGTTTCAAGCTTCATTTGTTGTCAAGACAGTGTTCTGTGCAGTTTTAGTGCATCATGTCAGAGCTAACAGAATTCAAACGCGGGCAAATTGTTGGGGCCCGTATGGTGGGTGCTTCTGTAACCAAGGTAGCCGAGGTTTTTGGTGTTTCACAAGGCACATTATCCAAGATTGTGACCTCATACAGAAGGACTGGAAAAACCGCATCCAATAAACACCAGTGTGGATGGAAATGTCTTGAGTGATCGAGACAGATGAACATTGTGTAGGATTGTGACGAAAAATAAGGAGACTACAGATGCAAAAGTGGCTTCTGAACTGAATGTCACACTCACAAACCCTGTCAGCAGCAAAACAGTATGAAGGGAACTCCACAAGCAAGGTATTTCTGGGCGAGCTGCAATTCCAAAGCCACTCATCAGTGATCAAAATGCCACTAAGAGGAGAGTGTGGTGCCAAAGTCATAAAACCTGGACTATGGAGCAATGGAAGACGGTCATTTAGTTTTATGAGTCCACCTTCACACTGTTTCCGACGTCTGGCCAAGTTTACGTCGGGAGAACACCATCCCAAGCTTATGATCCAGATTGTTTGTTGCCAAGAGTGAAACATGACTGGGGTTTGATCATGGTATGGGCAGACATATCGTGGTACTCTGTCAGACCCATCATTACCCTGCAAGGTCATGTCACTGCCAACGACTATGTGAGCATTTTGGGTGACCAGGTCCATCCCATGGTGCAAACTTTGTTCCCCAATGGTGATGGCATTTACCAAGACGACAGTGCCTGGGTTCACACAGCTCACATCGTCCAGGACTGGTTTTCTGAGCATGAAGATGAAGTGTCACATCTGCCATGGCCCCCACAATCACCAGATATCAATATTATTGAGCCTTTGTGGTCTGTTTTGGAGAGCAAT